GGATGACTAATGTGTTTGTGCGTTTAAAAGAGTCTTGGAGAGCAGGATTATGAATTCTGTGTAATTTTTGTTAGAAGTGTTATTGGTAGTATCTGACGTTTTGGGGTTTTTTTTGGAGGGGGGTGTTTTTTTTTGGGGGGGTATTTGTTTATGGGGGGGGGGCTTTGTGGAGTTTGTAATCCCGTTGTTGTTTTTTTTGTTTTTTTTTAAATGACGTGCGTAGTTGAGAAGATTGAAAGTTTTCTCAATACTTCTCTCTTCTTCATTTAGGTGTTCCAGGCTACATATATTAAGGGCTCTGAGGTGGGAATAGAAGTTGATTACGTCGTTTTTGTTAGTGGGTTTACGATATACTTTAAAATCTATTTTTTTTATTGTTGCGTATTAATAACATGTCGAGGAAAGTGAGAGTATTATTTATTTCAGATTCGTGTGTGAATTCAGTCGTAGATTCAACCCTATTGAGTTTCATTATTAGGTCTAATAGGTTTGTATCTTGGGGATATAATAAAAGGATGTCATCTATATATCATAGGTAAGTAGAGCTGTTCTGTATGATGTGTCTAAATAGAATTTCTAAGAATTCTAGAAAAAGGCAAGAAAGAATAACACTAATAGGTGACCCCATAGTTAAGCTGAAGGTTTTCTTGTAGAGAATATTGTTGAAAGAGAAGAAGCAGCGGTTAGTGATTAGTTTGCATATTTTTATAATTTAGTGGAAGATGGAAGAGGAAGATTTTCTTTGGACTTTTTGATCTGGTTTCTCATTATGTTGAGGACATTTCGTGTTTCGTGGCTATGTTGGTGTTTAATGAGTTGATGTCTAGGCTGGCCATGACCATGTTTTCCATTTTTATGTTTCATATTCTCTGGATTAAGCCACCAGAGTGTTTGATATGTGTTGTGTTATTTGTCTATATCTCTGAGATGAAGTATTATGGTTACTTACATTATTTACATTATTCAGACTGTTATCCTCATCTTTCCATATTCACAACGTTTCGGCCATCCTACCTTCCGGCCTTCTTCCGGTGACTGGAACTTCTGACCGAAACCTTTATTTCGTCCACCGGGGTAGATTACTCTAGTTCCACGAGCTATGCCTCTTCCGGGTGTGTCAGTTATTTCCCTTTAACTCAGCTTTGGTTCACCACTGCTGTGGCCTGGTATTGAACTCACAATTCTCTGGGTCTAGTCATTGGATCTAACCAACCCTTTTATTCACTGGGCCATGCGTCCTTGAGGATAAAGACGTTGGTTACATCCATTGACTAGACCCAAAGAATTGTGAGTTCAATACCAGGCTACAGCAGTAATGAACCAAAACTTGGAGAGCTGAGTTAAAGGGAAATATCTGCGACATCCGGAAGAGGCATGACTCGTGGAACTAGAACAATTTACCCCGAAATAGAAAGTGCACTGATTTCTGAGTCTTCCATAGTAAATTTTGATCCAGTTTGCCGTTTTCCTTAAAACACTCAATCCATTAGTCGTTCATCGCAATAACTCTGACCATAATTTTGACTTAAATAACGTCGTCCTGGGTATGACGATAAACTACATCCGGCAGCAATGCTTTTTATTGGGAGGTTTTGAGGAGCGTGGAACCACCTCATGATTGCTGTTGTTCCCAGGTCCAACCTGATCCCGGTTGGTAGCAACTGTTAGGGTCCCAGCTATGGGCAAATAGTTAACTCACAAATTGGTATCAAAACACTATGAAAGTGTAAAAATAATTTTTTTTATAGTACAAAATACTAGGAATACTTTTTTATAAATACAGTACAATGTTGGGAAAAATAACTTACTGCCAATACATTTGACTCTCGAGAAAAATCCTCTTTACAAAAAATATTTCAATGAAACCTGATCTACAAACTGATTTCTTATAAATATATATTCTATTCATACAAATCTATTGTAAAAAAAAAAGTTTGTCGGCATTAAATTACTCGTTGTGTTTGATTTGCCGTAAAATAAAACAACCCCAATGAAATGTTAAGTAATGCAGTTTTATTTAACATAGAGAATAATGCAGAGGGCGGCAAACTAAGGCACGCGTGCCACGTGTGGCACGCCAAGCAATTTTCCAATGGCACACAGCCACAAATGATATCACGAAGTCCGAACCAATAACTACTACAACCTAAAAAGACATTTAGCTGTTTCAATTTTAATATATACTAAAGTATATATATACTCTATATTACTATATATAATATATTGTAGAACAGGTATATTGACCTTGACTTCTATAAAAAATACATATCCTGTTGGCACACTGAATGATTTGAAAAACCTAAGTAGACACAGAGATAGCAAAAGGTTTCCTACTCTAGGGTACCTAGATATTATGACTTGTCGGCATTAAATAATCCGTTGCGGTTGATATGCCATCAAATAAAACAAAGAAAAACAAATGTTAAATAATGCATTTTTTGTTTAACAGAATAATACAGGGATTGGCAACCTGTGGCACGCCAAGCAATTTCCAATGGCACGCAGCCACAAATGACATTACGAAGTCCGAACCGATAACTACGACAACGCAAAGAAGATATTTAGTTGTTTCAATTTTAATATATATTAAAGTATATATATTAAATATTACTGTATAAAATATATTATAGAACAGGTATACTGAACTTAACTTGTATAAAAAAAAACGTATGCTTTAAAATTTTAAAATCCTAAGTCAGCACAGAGGTTGCCAACCCCTGGAAATCGATGTACTAAATCGAAAATGTATTGCATGTTCTCCCATCCCTGATACTAAAAGGAGATCGTGCAATGGTACAGGGCTGAAATGCTAGCAATTATGCGGTTGTTTATTGGGTGCCTGGTTTTGAAATTGGCCAAAATTTGCGAAATAGCGTCGAAAAGAATCGAAAGATTAATTTTGGATAGGTTCCCGAAAAATGTCGAAATATTGCAGCAATGATGTTTTGACGGCTGGCAGCGCTTTTACGATATTTATTTTGTGGAGCCTTTTGGACGGCACCGAAACTTCTTCTTTCCTCTCTTTTTCTTCTTTCATTCGACACCCCCCCACTCCCACCATTATTCCCACCCTAGTTTATTTTCTTTCTTCTCTGCAATGTCTTGAACAGTAAGTTGAAAAAAGAAGCCAAAAAAACAAAAGCAGCCATGTTTATTGCTCCATTTGAAAACGAATAAAGAATAAGAATATATACAGGCACGAAGTTACAAGTCATCGTGATTGAGAGTGTGAGTGCATTGGCGTTGTTCTGACTAAAGATCACGCCAGATAATTTGCTCTCTCCCAAAAACTGAAACTAGGATCTGCTCAGTATAGATTCAGTATAAACCACATTGATGTCAACACCCAGCGGCGACAGTCTGTTTCGTGTTTATTCACAATCGTGAAGCCACGTGCTTAATAATGTTTTTGTTCTCATGTTTTCTAACTTAGTAACACGTTGTGTTTTAGCGGCGTTATTGCCTTGCTTGGGGTGACATGATTCAAAATGCATGTATCTCAGTTTGTTACACCCATGCCAATCTATATATCTAGCTGTCTGCCTATCTCTGTCTGTTCCTAGTCATCTATCTATTTATCTAAGTCTAAGCATATTTATCTATCTATCTCAGTCTGTTCATATCTATCTATCTATCTGTCTATCTATCTATCTATCTCAGTCTGTTCATATATCTATCTATCTATCTATCTCAGTCTGTTCATATCTATCTATCTATCTATCTATCTATCTATTTATCTATCTATCTATCTATCTATCTATCTATCTGTCTGTCTCTCTCTCTGTCTGTCTTAATCTGTTTCTATCTATCTATCTAGCTAGCTAGCTAGCTAGCTAGATAGATAGATAGATAGATAGATAGATAGATAGATCCGTCTGTTCCTATTTATCTCACTCTATTCCTATGTATATATGTATGTACGTATCTGTCTATCTATCACCGTCTGTTCATCTGTATATATCTCTTTATCAATCAATCTTTCTATCTTAATAAGTAGGATCCATACAAATAAAATTTGTCACTCAGGAGATTGATATTATATTCAGCACCTCGACTCCAGAATTCCGCAGACCAATCTTTTAGTAGTCGTTCGGTCCACTCGTCAGGAGATTTCAACAATTGACTATGAATTTTCTCATTTTAGTTATTTTCATACTAAGTTAAAAATCAATATATGCAGTAGTTATTGATGTTAGGTTGATTTTTTCTCTCTGTGTGTATGTGTGTGCATATGTGTGTGTGTATGTGTGTGTTTTGTGTGCGCGTGCGTTTCTGTAAGTGTGTATATATCGAATGATGTGGTTATTACATCTTGTCATCTTTTTCTTGTCTCTTCCTACTCTCTTCATTATTCATTTTGCTTCTTTCTTTGCAAGGACCAAACTTTTGAATGCACGTATGAATACACGTTTTTAACGGTGTAAAAATATATACAGAAATACAAGTTGTGTTTTTCGCGTTTTTGTCTATTCACTCTTGTGTGAGTCACTGAGCTGTGTTTTGATGTTGACAGAAACGAAAGAAAATATTTTAAATACATGAGAAACGTTTCCATTCTTGTGACTGCAACTCAAGAGTGACTGGCCAAGAACAGGAACTGTTTCGTTTCGTTCTGTTTGTTTTGTTACCGGAAGCGACGATTGACCAATCAAAAGAATGAAAATAATCAATTCTGTTTCTTCTTGAAGATCGAATAAATTCATAGATCAAAGCAGAAACGGACAGGCAGTCAGAAGTCAGAGAGAGAGAGAGACAGAGAAAGAGCATAGAGTAGAGGAAAAAAGGAGAGAAAAATCAATCGTTATATAGATCCTTTCTCATTGGCGTGTGCAGAGAAATGTAGCAAATGAGTGGAGAGACGTCAATAAACTGAACTGAGCGAACTATAAATAGATAAAGAGAGGGGTGCGGAGACATAGATAGATAGATAGATAGATAGATAGATAGATAGATAGATAGATAGATAGTGAACAGATTAGGATAGATAGATAGTGAACAGATTAGGATAGATAGATAGATAGATAGATAGATAGATAGATAGATAGATAGATAGATAGATAGATATTATTATTATTGTCAGCAGCATAGATACCGAGTTCAGAACTGATGATATCAGGAAGGTTATTTAAAATACTTTAGGGACACAGTAGGAACAGGGATAAAGACCTGGGGAACAACTGCATTAATTCAAAAGAATCGAGAAAAGTGGCCATTCCAGATAACTTTCATTTGGTGATTTAATAAAGATTGAATCATTTCAAAAATTCGTTCAGAAATACCATAACCTTTCAACACGTAAAGAATAACGGTATGCCAAACCTTGTCATATATATATATATATATATATATATATATATATGCAGATAGATAGATAAACTGCGTTGTATATCATTTCTGCATGAATGACTGTGATTAATTAGACAATATTCGGATTATTGTCTTCGTCTTTGCTGTTGTTATCAAAAGATTTCGGCCGTTTTTCCTATAGGTTACCCAGATCGATATACATCTAAGGAAGGTCGGAGAGCACAATGGCCGAAACATTGTGATAACAACAACAAAGATAAGGACAATAGTCCGAATATCAATAAATATATATATATATATATATATATATATATATATATATATATATATTGTTACGAATTGTTACGAACTAAATTTATTATAAAAAATATACCACTGCTTATATTTTAGAAGCATTCTAAAATAAAGAGCCTAGTACTTGCAGAAAATGTAAAGATAGTAAACCCAAAGAGATAGGTAGACTTAGTGGCGACAAAGATTGGCCAGAGTGTACCCTTTCCTTCTCTTTTGGTCAAGGTGTTGACAGCATGATCTACGCAGATAGGTTCCGGTTGGGGAGGTTGAAACATTTTAAACTAAACTTTCTCTGACCCTGAAGATGAGGGAGAGGGTCGATGACCTTATTCCACTCATAATGGGAAAAAGTTAGTATTCTGAAAATTGGCCACGTGACAAGAAGAAAACGGAAACGAATAGTGAAACGAAAAAAGTTAGTCTTGACCGAGCCTGCGGGCCGGTAGGACGTCTGGTAAATGTCTCGGCATATGGGCCGAAAAGATGCGTTTGTGAAATTGCGAGGAGAATTGGTCTCCCAGTCGAATGGATGGACCCGTTTTGACGACGTATGCGGAACACCGCTATATCGAAGATAGAGAAAGCAGTTTCAACTGTCACCAAGACCTTAAACAAAGCACGAGAGGGAAAAGAAAGAAAGAAAGAAAGAAAGAAAGAAAGAAAGAACTGACCATCTCGAGCGAGAATGCTGTTATACCAAGAAAAAAGAGAGAGGAAAAGCATTTTCTGCTTAATCGTCAGCCAAGCCCCTAGACGACTAAAAGAGAAAGAGAGGAAGTAAGAGAAGACCTCAAAAAAGAGATCCTTATAAAAATAATTAGAAAAGGAAAAAGAAAAGAAGTAGATATAATAAGAGATATTATTAATGGAAAAGGACTCTATTTTGAGTTAAGTTTATTGTTTTTCTTGTGTCCCATTTTTGTTTAAATGTACCTTTTTTTCATATTTGTACTTTCATGCAAATTTAACATGAGATCTTTTTATTACATGATTCTGTCCACTTGTCTTAAAATTTTAATGTTTTGTGAATCCATGCAGGTATAGCACATGTCCTATAAATTCGTGGCAGTATGGCACAAGGCCATACGCTGATTTTTATTTTACCTTTCTTTGAGGATGCTCTCCTCCCACTATTTTGTCCAAAATGCTTAAATGTTTATTCTTGACATATCGTCATTTTTGTTTTGGCCGTTTTTGTTTTATTTTATCTTTTCCACGATTCCATGTTTGTTAATAAATTTATATTCCCTGTCTCCATTGTTGTTTGCGCCTACCGTGTTTGTTCCTTAATCGATTCCACCCGGCTGTGTCTGATCAATCGGAAAGAGAACCTTGGGAAAGAAATATATTTTACAAAAATAATGTAAAATGTTAAAAAAACAAAATAATACAGATTATGATCCTCCTCTACCTTCTCTATCGATAAGGTTGGAGAAAGGAAGGAGGGGGGTTCGTAAAATATATAAATATATATATATATATATATATATATATATATATATATATATATATATCTGACTCTCCCGTCGAGATTCGACATATGAGGGTCAAGCAGATCAGTTCCCAGGAAAGCGACAGCCCGACAACAGCACATGAGATTTGATTATAGTGGTGAAGGTTTCGTGCAGGACCATCCACACTTTTTGAAGGGCCGAATACAAAGACCTGGTGCAACTACGTGCCACAAGGTTCCCAAACGACCCTCCACAGGTTTTGAATTCAGAGTTGTCCTTCTCCTAGACCAGCTGCCATACAAGGCTATAGAACCCAGTCTGTCCTGAAGAAGAGGATTCACACCTTCCCCAAGGGTATTAGCACGTAAGTGAATATATATATATATATATATATATATATATATATATATATATATATATATATTAAAACAAAAGGTTTGTCACTTAGGTGATTGATGTTACCTTCAGTATCCTGATTCTGAGTTTCGTAGACGGAGCATCCAGGAATTGCTCCGTCTGCTCGTCAGGGGTCGGGGGGGTTATTTACAATTGAATTTTATACTTTTCGATTTAATCTTTTTTATATGTTTTTTTCATTATGCAAGTTTTTTTTTCACAGTGTATGTGTATTTTGCATGTCTGCGTTTGCGCGCGTACGCCCATGCTACCGTCTGTGTGTATGTACATACGTGAAGAATGTCGCAGTTATCTGTCCTTTTCATTTTGGGGGGGGGGGCTTTTTTTCAATTTACACTCACTTCTTTTTTCCCCCCTTTTCTCTCTTTCGTCTCTTTTCTTCCAAATAAGAAACCTATATCCCTGAAAATTGTTTTCAGGGAAAGATTTCGTAAATGTCAAGATAGAGTAGCACTGGCTGCTCCGTCAATAAATGCCGAATTTTTCCTTATAAGGAATCAGGTAATATTATCATTCAGTTGCCATCCAAGGCTATACAACCCTTTCTGTCTTTGGAGGAGAAGAAAAGGATTCATACCTTTCCAAAGGTCAGTCAGTTATGTGCCATGCGTGATACATGTTTAGGTGATCATGTATCTTTCGATACATGACTGACGAGGCAGATTTTTTCCCGCAGTAGGTTGCCATTTCTTTCTGCGGTAGACCAGTTGCCATCCTAGACTATAGAACCCGGTCTCTCCTGCTATTTATCCATAGCTAGGGGGGGAGAAGAAGAGGATTCATACCTTTCCCAAGGGTATTAACACGTAAGTGAATGTAATGGATACGGCTGGAATTTCAAATCGGCTCTCCGACAGATAAGTTGAACAGATACAGCACTTTGATCCGAGCCCTATGACCAGGGAGTGAAGAAACGTGTCACAAGAGAGGCATTGGCTGTTGATTCTGAAAATGTTGAATGTTTCTTTATAAGGAAACAGCTAATCTCACTCTTACGATTACCATTTATCCTGGTTAATTTCAGCTATTTTGTATACAGACATCGATTAAGAGTAATCCCCATTTGGGGAGTATAATGTTTTATGCTTGGTCATGAAAGAGAATACAGTATCTGATAGTGAACCTGAAAGAAATGCCCGAAGCGGACTAAGACGCCATTGCCCTAGGTAAGCTATTTTTCGTTGATATTAAATGCTGCTTGAATTTGATCAGTTCCGCGGTTGAGCCAGGATCCGTCGCCCGGGACGCAGAGATGAAAAAATAGTTAAATATTCTTCTCTTGCTGATAGATTTTTTTTTACTCCTATGGCAGGTTATTGGGGGTTATTGGCCCTCATTCGATGGCGTTCCTTCGGAGGAATGGTGCGATTTCGTCTCGATTAAGGGATGAGCCTCGCGAAACGGAGTGGCTCTTGCAGTGTGTCTCACTGGCCATGGTTCGAGGTAATGCTTTCTCCATCATTGCGGATGGCAGACGATAGAAAAAAATTGTTTATAGTTACGTTGTTCTGGATCAGTGGTCAACTGAATTTGTTTTGTTTCAATAAATTTATTTTCTGTTTTATTCTGAAAAAAAAAATATTTCCATAAAATAAATTATAACAGTAATTAAAAAAAATGCTTGAACCATTTCCAAACAGAATTTTTTGTTTTGTTTCGTTTATTTTTTTCCTGCAAACTTAAGGTTTTGATTGATATAATTTTTTCTCTATTGTATGATATTTCTCAGATGAATTTCTTTCCTTACTCCCTACGTTTCCAATACTTTCTTTCTTTCTCTTTTATTGTTTGTAGCACTACGTTTTGGCCGATACATTTATCGACTTTCCTGCATTTGTGAAACAATAGAATCGGGTCGTCATCAGAACACACACGAAGTCAAGTGGACTGTAAATGATTTGGGATCTGAGTCTGCAGTGTTGTGTTTTTATGACCAGCAGTAAAGACTATGAAGTAGAAGTTTCAAAGTAGCCACCCACTTGATAAAAAGTGATGTAATGAATATGCATACACCTGGGTTCCGCCTCACATTAATATGATTGGCTGGTTTCAGCCATAAATACAGACTGATGTGGAGGTACAAGGACGCCTATTGGCTATGCCTATGGTCTTCGCCTATTGCCTACCGCTACGACGAGGACCAGTCCATTACAGTTACCTGCTAGATTGTCCTACTCGGTTACAGTAGTCCCAAACCACTTTGCTACTTCGAACAAATATATACCTTTCCGGGACATATCAAAAAGTAATTAAAAAATTACGTTCCCAATTTTCATTGTTAATATAAAATGACCGTTACTTGACACAGGGCGTTTCGTTTTAGTTCAGATTTCATGGGTGATCAAGATCGAAACCTTGCATCGTTCAGCTGTGAGTCAGACTTTATTGAATGTTGAAGTTTTGCCCACAAATGAGTGCCTTAAATTTGGACGATTAAAACTTGCACATTCGCCATATTGTGCTCTATGAATTTTGAGAAGGTTTATTTGGATCAGGCTCTCCAGACGGTCAAAAATGTTTTGGCAGATTTCGTCGCAGTGATTTTAACCAAAACTTTCAGCCACTCACCTGGTAAACTTCCGATGTTGATGAAGATGCTCTGCTTGCCATAGTAGAGAATAAACCGAAGATTTCGACGGAAGAGATTGCTAAGAGTTTGAAAATATATATGTAACGGCGTCGAATGATGAGGTAGTTAAAGTAATTTCCCCGTTGTTATATGCATTTGTACTTGATAGAGGATTCATTTACTCTTTTTTTTTTCTTTACTGAAAATGGAATGAATAAAACGTACAAAAATAACAGCAATGAGACTTTGAGACACGAGTTGACATTAATGACAAAAATGTGTATTTTTCTTTCCATAATATCCATTACAATATTGATAGTGTGGGTGTTAAAAATATCCTCAGTGTTAGTGTCCCTTTTGTTTCTTTAAAAGTTGGTGCTTACCTGTTTTTGCTTGTTTCGAGAATTTCGTTGTTAAGGGTAGCCTCTGAGACCGTCAAATGTCGATTTTCACGGAGCGACTGTTGTTCCTTTTTACTACTGCTGGTAGAAAAGTCGTTTTTATAATGGTGAAATTTCAGGTTTTTTTTTAAAATCGTAAAATATTTGATCATTATTTCCAGAATCCATGAAATATAATTGTCATCAATCATCACTAGTTGAAAGGTTGCTTTAGAATGATCAAATATCGTCATCATTCTGAATAAACTACATTTCGCCACTTGAAGTGACTTTAATTCAAGTGAAACACCCGATTTTGGCAATTCGAAAAGGTGTCCTTTTCGACCGCGACGACGTAAGACCGCACGTTGCAAAACAGACCTTGCAAACGCTTTAAGAGTTGAAATGGGAACCCCTACAGCACCCACTCCTGACTTGGCTCTTTCGGAATTTTATCTGTTCTGGTCCCTGCAGAACAATTTAAAGGACAAAAAAATTTGATTCCATCCAGTCAATCGAAAACTGCCACACAACCTTATTCAAATAAAAAAAAGCATGATGTTTCTCCAAAAATGACATCAGCAAGCTTGTAGAACGATGGAAGAGAGATAGTCGTGAAAATCAGTAGCGACTCTGTACTTGACTAGTACATGTCTTTTTAATTTGTTTTTGTGAGTATGTAAAATTATGTTTTAAATTTTCTAACCGGACACGAACATTTGCAATCATCTAATACATAAATGACAACTTTTGCCAAGTGCTTCTTGACATAAAGTTTCACTCTAAATACAGTACAAGGCAAAAAAATGGACGCACCCAGAGAAAGACTATTTTTGTATTTTTACCAAGACAAGTGAGTAATAGAATTCGTTTATTAATAAAGGGTATTGATACAGGTGTATATATGTACATCATTCAAGTCAAAAATGATTTAGTA